AAAATACCAGTGTATATCAGAATAGAGATGACGTGGGGAGTCAAGTACACACACACAGACACACACACACACACACACACACACACACAGACACACACAATGAGATGACTTGGGAATCAAGTCACACACACGGACACACAGATACACACACGCCCCGGAGGCACTTGGTACAGACAACACACACCTTGGGATTCAGACAGATTTACATTCAACCCCAGGTCTATCCCCCTTGCAAGCTGTGCGACTCAGGCCAGCCCCCTCACCTCTGTGACCCTACATATTCTTGTGTGCACCTTAATGCTACAGGATGAACTGTGTTCCTCTGAATTCACCCATTAAAGCCCCGACCCCCAGCGTGATTGTATCTGGAGATAGGGCTCTCAGCAGGTCATTGAGGAAGTAAAGTTAACTGAGGTCATAAGGGTAGGGTCCTAAACCAGTAGGGTTACAAGAAGAAGAAAAAAGAGCTCTCTCTCTCTTTCCATCCACAAACGTGCACTGGGAAGAGAGTGTGTGAGCACACAGCAAGAAGGTGGCTGCCTACAAGCCAAGAGGAGAGTCCTCAGCAGAAACTGACCACCCTGGCAGCTCGGAACTCCCAGCCTCAGGCTGGGAGAAAATAAATATCTCTTGCTAAAGCTACCCAGTCTGTGGCATTTCATTAAGGTATTCCAAGCAGACTACGGCAAATGGGGACACTTATTCTGCTGAATTTCTTAGAGAATAATGTGAGGTAACATGTACACAAGTGCCTTGTTCTGGGCCACTCAGGTGCTTAATAAACTTTAATTGTTTAACACACGGTATTAGGCAGATACTTCCAGCTCAGGTAACAAAAAATCTCAAGTTGGCTAAGACAATATTGAAAATGTATTGTCTCACATAAGAAGACCTGAGCTAGGGGAATTCAAGGGCTAGTTAACTCGGTAGCCCAGGCCTTCATTGAGCTCCCTAGTCTTGTCTAACTTTCTTCACTGCCCTCCTCAGCCTGTTAGCCTAATTCCCCTCATGGCTGCAGGATGGCTGCAGTGATTCCAGCCATCAAACACAGACACAACTCTGACTTGGGAAGAAGAGGGATCCTTTCTTTCCATGTGCTTCTTTTTATTAATTGACATAAAGTTTTCCCGGAAGCCCCCTTGCAGACGTCCTCTCATTGGCCAGGACTGTCAGGTGTCCATGACTGCCAATCACCGGCAGAGGGAACGGGACAGCTGAGATTGGCTTAGCCTTAGACCAATCATGACTCAATTTGAGGGGCTGGAGGTAGTGCCACCTCCCATGTCCACATGGAAGAAAGTGAATTCCTGCACAAAGTTAAGCTCTTATTAGAGGAGAAAGGAACAAGGAAGAGTGTTAGGTAGGTGACCAAGAGAGTTTGTGACAAGAAATAGTAATAATGGCTTTTGTTAGTGAGTGCTTATGATGAGTACTGGTACACATCACCCTAGCAGGTGATATGAATTCCCATTTTACAGCCGAGAAAACTGAGGCCCAGAGAGCAAAAGTCACTGGCACACGTCACATGGCTGGTGAGTGCCTGAGCCAGCCTTTCCATCTCTGAGGAGTGGGCTCTCAACCACTCTGCTCTGCCACTTCCTTGGAATGGCTATAACTTTAACTACTATTATTTTTACCCTTGCTGGGAATTCACAGACCATCAGGCGCTTCCTGGTCCAGAGCAGAGAGGAGAGCAATCTTCCCTCCAGGTTGCTATGGAAGCCTCAGCTCCTCCACCCTGTCCCACCACCCCCTGCCTCGAGGGAGTCGAGACAGCCCTACCGATGAGTCTTTGGTGGGGAGAATTGTTTCTAAGTGAAGTGATAAGTGTCCCTTTTTTGGACTGGTCTTTGTACCATGGACAGATTCTCACTGAGCCTGGGGAGGTTCTGGAAAAGAAGAGGGCTTGAGGGTCCACAGCCCACTGACTATTCCTCATGGACAGAAATCTCTCTGGAGCCTTCCACATCTACACCACACATGCATCCTCACCTCCCGAGGTCCTTCCACCTGCAGCCTCCCCTGTTGGCCTACATGTCTGTCCTTTCTGCTTTTGTTCATGTTCTGCTTCCTACCCAGAATGCCTTCCTCCCTGCTTTCCTGTATCCACCTCATCCTGGACCCCCAAGTGCACCCTTGAGGAGGACCCTCAAGTCCACCTCCTCCAGGAAGCCCTTCCTGATGGAAGAGCCCTTCCTACTCTGTCCTCTCCCCTCTCTGAATGCAAAGACACTCCTAGACTATGCCAGTGGGTCCCAAATCTGCAGCCTGTTGGAATCACAGTGATGGGTGATGCCCAGTAAAGTATGACTTCCCCAGGCTGCATGAGAGCCAGGGTAGAGTGTGGTTAAGGGTACGGGCTCTGGAGTAAGGCAGCCTGGGTTCAAATCCTGGTCCTGGCAATTGCTGCTTGCAGTTTGAGCAAGTTACTTAACCTCTCTGTGCTTTAATTTCCCCACCCGTAAAATGGGAATAATAAGAGTATCTATTCCCATCAGGTTGTTGCAATGATTATATGAGGTTTAAAAAAAGCACATAGAATAAAAGCAAGTAAAAGGCATTCGATACATATGAATCAGACTCTTTAGAAGTGAGAGTCTGTATTTTTATGTATCATCCCAAATGGGTCCTTTGTAGCCAGCCAGCAAGTGTTCAGGATCCACAGGTCTTATTCTAGAATTTTCTCAAAACTGGTCATTGGCTTCCTTTTGCCAATAACATAAGACCACATTCCTTATCTAGATGTCTGGTCCCCAACCTCTATTTCTCACCTCCCCGCCTAGTCCTCTGTCACTGCATCTTTTTTTAAATTGAAGTATAATTGATTTACAATGTTGTGTTATTTTCTGGTGTACAGCATAACAATTCAGTTATACATATACACATTCTTTTCGTATTCTTTTTCATTATATGTTATTAAAAGCTATTGAATATAGTTCCCTGTGCTATACAGTAGGATCTTCTTATTTATCTATTCTGTACATAGTAGTTTGTATCTGCTAATCCCAATCCTGGTATAGGATCCCCAAATGCAGCGTCTGGGTTCAGTTATGCCTTTGCCCAGGCTGTTCCTTCTAACTGGAATGCCTTTCCCTGCCTTTTCCAGCATCAGCACTACCATGTCCCAGGTGCCTACTGTGTGCTGGGGATTGTGACAGAATCTGGGTTTGAACACAGTGCTATCTGACCCCAAGGTCTGTGCCCTTAACCATGCCCTGTGATGCCTTACTGCCACATCTGCTCTGTTTAACCTCTCCTGGTCCCACCTTCTGCAGAGTAAGGTAACCCCCACCCACATTCATAAAGACCCTGCTCCACTCCTGGCTTATAGTCCACATATTTTCAGATTTGCCTGCCATCCCCACTAGACTAGCAGCTTATCTCTAGCACCAAGCACCCTTACGTGGACCCCAAGCCCTCTAGTACCAGGATCCCCATTTATAATCCCTTCCCCCACCCCCAGACTCAGTGATTTGAAAACTCGCTCTCCCTACCAAACAAGCAGCCCATAGTCCATGGCAATAAGCTTATCTTCCAGTTTTACTAATCAGGCATAACTAACTGCCAGTGAAAACCTCTTCCCTGTGCTGGGGGAGACAGGAGCTCCAGCCACAAGCAAGAATATTCGCTAACTTGGCCTCCTGTGCCCCCATCGCCCTCAAGTTAGTGGAAGCAGCAGAGGAAGTGGATGGCCTCCCTGAGGTCTCGTGCCAAAGTGGCATTAGCTCTTGAACTCTTGGGCTGTCTTTGTAAATGCTCTTTGAAAGAGCAGAAGACCCCTGTCTAAAGGCTGGCGTCTCAATCGGCACTGGAAAGAGGAAGAAGAGGATTAGAGGAAAAGAAGAGGGAAGAAATATTGTCTGGGCTTTGTCTTCAGCCGCTCCGGGGTGAAAACGGAATTCCCCAAGCATGGTGACTTGACTGCACGGCGCTCTGCACTTCTAACGCTGGACCAAGCACAAGAAGCTGCTTAACCTGTGCCTTGATGTGAGTCCTGCCTGTAGGGACCTGAGCCCCGGGGGATGGGGTGGGTCTGCTTGGGCCATCAGGACCCTGCCTGGGTCCTGAACCCCGGCTGAGGGAGGATGGGGAGAACCACTGAGTAAACAGCAATTCCCTCATAGCCATCATCGCTCATTAAATGTGAACACTGTCCATTTGCTCCCACATGAATGCGCTGCCCACGTGAGCACCGTATCCTTGCCTGCAAACCCAGAGAAAAGCTCCGGAATGCTTGCTTCCCTGCTTCCATCTTGGGGGTCCTCAGCACCCTCAGAGCTGCCCCCCAGCACCAGCCCCTGCCCCCACCCCCAGTCCCCACACCAGAGCCTTGAGTGTCTTGCCGATGCCGTCCAATGCCAGGCACGGGGACCAGGTTCAAATCCTTGGGCCCGTTACTGGATTTCTTCAGCTGTAAGTGGGCGAAATCAAGGGTAAAATCAAGGATCTGATGTGAAAACACAGAGTGCCTGGCACGTAGTAGGTTAATTCCCATGTACGGCCATGTCTTTCCTCTGCCATCCCTGCCCCTCGTGCAACAGGGTAATTGGAGAAAAGACTGAGTCAAAAAAAAGAAGGAGTGGGGGACATAGAGTGACAGGGTCTCCTGGGGTATCCAGTGGTGGCGGCACACGGGGACCCAGTGGTCCAGCTCTGGGCCAGTCCCTCTGTCCTTAGTGCCCCGTGCCAAGCGCTGGTGACTCCGGATGCAGGGAGGAGGGCACTAGGCTGCTAAGAAGCCTGGACGCAGATCTGAGTGATGCTTTGATATCACAGCGACTCTTATTTATGCAACAATGTGTGTGTTCAGTGTGCTGCTAAGTCCTTACGCTGCCCAGTACCAGCCATAAAAGCCTCCATATATCACCCTGAATTCCCTTCCTGGGTAGTTTAAAAGAATGAGAGGTGACTTAATGGCAGTGTTTAAGGGTTATTATATATACGTTAACGGCTAGATGCTCTTCCGTGGCAGGCAGAGGGACCTGGAGGGGGCTCTGGCAGCAGCGGAGACCCTCGCTGGAGTTCAGAGGGTTTACTGCATCTTCACCCTGCCTCCATCCCAAAGGCACCGGGGGGGACCCGCTGAACTCTCAAGGTCTCCCCTCGCCCCTGGGAGACATTCTGGACCGTGATGCTAAGCTGCTTGGTCTCTTCCCATGAATGTGATCTTTAAAAGTAGAGCAGATGCTCCTACCATAGATGAGATGAAGGTGTTTGGCTGAACTAGTGAACAGAGAGAAGAATGAGGGCCCTATGGGAGGAGACCTGGTCCTGGGATCTGCAGTCAAACAAAATAATTCAGAGTGGCACCTGGAGCCCCATGGAGAGCAAGAGGGTGCTGGCCACCCAGCCCCTCTTGCTGTGGGGAACAGAGAGCGTTCACCAGGGGACGCTTCCTCTCCCCTGCATCAGCAGGGATGGGGGGCAAAGGTGAGGCCCAGTGTATGTTCATCCCTGGAAGATCAAGAGGGTGAGGGTACAAAGTGAGGTCCAGCAACTCATGGAAAGGAAGGTGTCCCTTTCTCCTAAGGAAGGGGTTGAGAAGTCACATCATAACCCCATGCTGGCTTCACCAAATCCACTCTCCGTGGGCAAGGAGGGGATTCAGCAAGGCAGACGGTTGGGGGCACAGAACCCTGACATGAGGATCGCTTGCATCAGAGCCACCCCCGTCTGAGACCGTTTCTGACCAGCACGAGGGTGCACGGGGAGGATTGCAGGCACCCCAGCTTCGAAGCCCAGCTCCTCTATCTATTCCTTAATTTGATTGTGGGAAAACGTTCACCTTTTTGAGCCTCAGTTTCCTCCTCGGTACAGTAGGGTCAATAATATGTACTTTGCAGATTTGAAGCAAGAATTAGATGAGATAAAGTGCCAGGCACTGAAGTTCTTTCCTTCCGTTGTCTCACTAAGCCACCTCAAGCCACTTTGGGCCTTGGACCAGTCCTCACCGTCCTGCGATGTCTTTGGTCATCCTTTACGCCTGCTTGGGATGCACCCCTCCTGGGTCCTTCGCTCTGTGCCAGGCGGCGCCCTCCCTTACTGCAAGCTCGACCTCAGCTGGTCTGCCTGTGATTGACCCGGGGGGCACTGACGTGGAACTCGAACAACATCTGCCCACTCGTGTGGTCGGTCCCTCAGCACGCACGTACAGTCTCATGATCAGACACACCAAACATTCACGCGGTCTGCTTGTTTCAGGTGACAGGGTTCTGTTTCCCCAACAGATGCTCCCGCTGCCTCCCACTTCCAACCACTCTCATTCATTCCAGATGCCCCCACCCCAGATGAAAGGGGAGACCACCTGTAAAGGTGGTCTGTATTTCCTGCCCCTGCCCTTGAGCATAACCAGATCCTCCCCACACCCAGCAATGACCTCCCTCCACCCCTCCTTTCCATCTACAGAAATTCTCCTCCACTTTCAAGACTCAAATACATGCCAGCACCTCCATGAATGCCTCCCTTTCCCATTTCAACTTTGGAGAACAACGGGGCCTGGCCCAGGTATTCCAGCTGCCCCTCCAGACTGAATCCCTGAGAGCAAAGACCTGGACACACTCACCTCTGTGTCCCCCTCCCCTCACTCCTGGCATGTATAACTGGATGCCTGATAAATGAGCCTTTATTCATAAAGAAAATCATAACAGCTACAGCACACTGAGCCCCTGTCATGGGCCAGACGTTTTATAGACATCATCTCATTTTATCCTCAGAGCAACCCTGCCAGCTAGCTATTATTAGCTTCATTTATAGAAGCGAGACGGAGACTCAGATAGAGTGACTGGCCCAAGGTCACCCTGCTGCCGTATAAAGTGCCAGGACTTCAGGCCAGGTCAAAGTGGTCCCAAAGTCGGCCACACCCTGGACCACACTGTCCCAGAAGAAAAATTAGGGGGCTGGGGCAAAGATAAACACTCCATTTTCTGGATAAGACCAGACTGTAGATATTCAAATTTAGGAATCCGAGGAGGCTTTATGACAGAGTGAGAAAAAAGCATTCAAGTAAAGCTTTGAAAAAAAAAAAAGATAAACTGAAAAAAAAAATACGTAGGACTGTGTTATGGGCTAAATTGTGTCCCTTCAAAATTTATACGTGGAAGCCCTCACACACACAGTATCTCAAAATGTGACTGTATTTGGAGACAGCGCCTTTAAAGAGGTGATTAAGCTAAAATAGAGCCTTTAGGGTAAGTCCTAATCCTTATGAGATGAGGAAATTTGGACACACAACAGACAATAGGAATGCATGCACAGCAGAAAGATTACATGAGCACACAGTGAGACGGTAGCCGTCTGCAAGCTAAAGAGAGAGCCCTCAGAAAAAACCAAACACACCAGCACCTTGATCTTGGACGTCTAGCCTCAAGAATTATGAGAAAATAAGCTTCTGTTGTGGATGCCACCCAGTATATAATATTTTGTTATGGCAGCTCTAGCAAACGAAAAGTTTCCTATTACAAATTATATCCTTAATATATAAAAAGTTCCTAGAAATCAATAAGAAAAAGACCAACAAACCAACATTAAAAATGGGCAAAGAATATGATAGATATTCACCAGAAAAGAAAATACAAATGGCTCATAAACATAGGAGAAGAAGCTCAACCTCATTCATGATAAAACTGCACTGAGGTATCATCTTTCATTTATCAGGTGGACCACATTTCCAAAAGTTTGCTAATACCGCATTTGGCAAGACTGTGGGAGAATAGGGAGGGACCCTCCAATGAGGCTGTTGGGAGTATAAGTTGGACAACCCTATAGAGGGTGATTTGGCAATATTCAATTGAAAGAAAGAAGGAAAGAAAGAGAGAGGAAGAAAGAGAGGGAGGATGAAAGAAAAGGAAAAATGTGTGTTCTAAAGTCAGTTGAATCTGGTTTCAAATCCCATATCTGGCACTTTTCAGCTATTTAAACTTGGGCAGTTATTTGCCCTGTCTGTGCCTCCGTTTCTTCCCCTATAAAGGGAATAGTAATAGCACATCCCACGTAGAGTGCTAAAGAGAGAGGGCTAGCATTGTTCTATTATTATTATTGTTGTTGTCACTGTCATCCATCAATGTGCCAGCCATGGGGTGGTCTCGTATTTGTGGATCCTGTACTTCCTTTCATGTTCTTTCCTTGTTTTCAATAAAGTGATTCAAGTCAGCAACTAAACTGGATGGATATAAATAATGGCTATCACTGCATTTCCCTTTTCATGTAACTAAATAAACTTTCAAGAATCGAAAAATATCTGCTGTTAGTTCCTGAACCCTGATACTGGGCTTAGAAGGTATGATCTCCACACCTAACCCAGTAAGTGCCCCAGGCTGTCATCAGATCATGAAGTCAAAGAAGATGAACATTTCCACCATCTCCATCCCTTCTCCTCTTCCGCCCCAAAGTGGAGCGGGATGTGTTTCCCTATCCATCAAAGCTGGCTGCACCAATGGTGTTTCAGAGAAGCTGGCAAAGTGCAGGTCTTCAACACAAAGCTGAGTGGATGGAACGTATAGGCTTTTTCAGGTGCCTTGCCTCCTGCTGGGGAAACTGAGGCCAATGTGCCTGAAAGATACCTGTGCAGCTTGTCCAGAGCTTTAGAGAGCTGCCCCAGCCCTGGGCAAATGTGCTGGGTTCACATGAAAGATTCTCCTCCCCTAACCTCCCATCCTGCACGCAGTCATCCCTCCACCTTCTCATCCGCCTTCATTCCTTTTCAACTCATCCTCCGATCTCCCCCTGTGACACCAACACCAACAACAGGATAATGATCACCACTCGTTCAGCACTTACCACCTGCCTGGCACTTAACTTTATTATTTTTTTTGCAACAACCCTACAAGGTAAGTATTATGATCATCCATTTACAGTTTAGGAAACAGCCTCAGAGAAGTGAAGCAGTCTTGTTGAAGGTCAGTAGCTAATCACTAGCAGAGCCAAGCTTGGCGCTCGGGACTTCTGATCCCAGAATGTGGCACCGGCCTCTGCTGCAGTGCCCCCCAAACCCGAGACCTTTTCAGCTGCTAAGAGTCAGCACAGGGGATCAGGGATCTAAGGTAACCTCCCCAAATCCATATCCTGTGAACCAACTTCAATTCACCCTCCACCTACCACACAGGCAGGCCCCCCCTACAAGGTGACACCATCACGGGTCTCCCTAAGCCCCTGACCTTTCTTTTCTTGGTCCCTCCTAACCCTGGAGTCCAAAGACTCTTCTGAGATCTAGCCCTCCTACCTTCAAGACCTTGCTTTTTGTCATCCTTTCTGGAAAGCACTCCTTCCTATGAACCTGGTCTGTAGGGCAAACACTGGTAAGTTTCATACCCTTAGCTTGCTAAAGCTTCTGTAATAAGGGGAGTGGAATGAACATTTACTGAGACCTACTATATGTCAGGACCCATGCTAAGTCACTAAGATATATTAATAAACCCTATGAGGTAGGTATGATGATTCTCTTTTGCATTTGAGAAAACTGAGGTTCTGAGAGGTTACGGAACAGGCCCAAGGTTACACAGCACTCAGAAGGGACGCTGGGATACAGACCCAGTCCTGTCTCATCTGCTTGATTCCAAAGCGTCTGTGCCTTTGGTCCCATCACTTTGCCTCCAGCAGTAAAAGCTTAATAAATATTTGGCCCCTGAACACAAAGACAGAGCCTCTTTCTACCACATTAAACAGTTGCAGTGTGAGTTAGGAGCACATCTGTCTGGCATTAGCTTTCCTTTCAAACAAATGTTTTTCTAACATTTGTTTCATAGTTTTCCTATCCTTTATAAGCCCTGGCAGGCCTCACAGCTAGGGGATTCCTGAGGGCGCAGCCTTGTTTGTTCTCCTGTCACCAGTGGGGCATTTGGAAGAGGCACTTCCATTCTGAACAGCTGCCTCGGCCTCTGCCCAATAAGCCCCAGGAACATGGGCTGGGATGAAGGTAAATAAGGCTTTGTGGGTCCCGTGTATACTCCTGGAAATCGAGTAGGTGTCTGCAGGCCCAGAGGAGATTGCACAGCACTGCAGTAAGATGGGCCTGGGCTGGCGTCCCAAATGGGACACTAATTTATGGTGCCACCTCCCACAAGCCACCTCAGTTTCCTCATCTGCAGCTTGGGGTGACAGCAGTGCTTAGAAGAGAGTCTGCCATATACAGCCAGTGTCCCATAAATGCTGATTGTCCCTCTTCCCTCAGCCCAGTGGAGTTTGGATGGCTTTGTAGGGACTCTGGGTGGAGAAGAGGAAGGCAGGAGTGTTGAGAGCAGGGAAGACAGAGTCCTTTCTTTTCCTTGACCCCCAAGGTGGAGGAGTTTGCTGAGCTCAAGAGGAAGCTCAGGAGGCCAAAACCCTGCCCACGAGCCTCCCCTGCCAGTCCCTGGAAATCCAGAGGCTCACGGCTTTGCAGCTGGGCTCCTGCACTCATGATTGTTTCCCAATATCTACATGGGTAGAGGGGATGCATGAGGTCACAGCCCCTTCCCACCTGGCCCAGCCCAGAAAGCTTTTAGGAACAGCCACCACACTCTCTGTGATCTCAACCCTCCAAGCCTGCATTGGCCTGCATTTTACAATTTAGGAAGACTGGCATAGACCCCTTCTGCTGGCTTTGCAATGATTCTGTCTGGAGGCTGCCATCCCAAATAGAGCGAGGAAGCTGAAGTTCAGAAGGGTAAAGTGACTTGCTTTTTACCCTGTCAATGGGTGATAGCCATCAGGGCAGGGGCAGCTGTCCAGCGTGCTGAATGGCTGCACTGAGTCCCAGGTGCTTCCACTGTGTTTCCTCATTCAAACCTCCCCAGGCCCTAAGAGTAGGTACTATATGATCCCCATTTTGCAATAAAGTAATTATGACTTAGAAAGGGACATTTATGCAAGGTCACCCAACTAGAACCTGGCAGAGGCAGCTGTGTCTTAAGTCAAACACCTGTGCTTCTCACCAGGAAGCTGCACCCAGGAGAGTTAAGTCAGGTCTCCTTCGATCACCTCTTCTCTCTCTATCTCTCTCTCTTTCTCATTGTTGGAGATCTAATAGTTATAACATTTACCATTTGTTGAACACCTATTATGTGCTGGGCCCTACGCTGACTGTTTGAAATACTTTGTCATCTATTCTCTCAAAATACCCTGTAAAGTAGGTTTAGCCCATTTTACAGATCATTGAGTCTATTGAGGCTCAGAAAAACTACAAAGCTGGTTAAGTCCCAAAGGTGGGTTCAAACTCATGCTTTACTGAGGAGATGGTTCTGGATATTCATAGGAAACTTGGTGGCAACTTTTCTACCTGTTTATAACACTCCTCAAGCCAATTTGGTGAAATTTTGGTGAGAAGGATTTTCTTCTCTTCCTCTAGGTAGGCCTTTCCCAATTCTCGCTCACAGCCTGCCCATTCCAGAAGATCCATAAACACTTCTAAATGTGTCATCTGATGACCTGGGATCATGTCAGGCTTTGGATGCTCAAAAGGAAAGCGACTGGGAGAGGAGTCAGAGGGGACCCATGAAGATGCCATTTATCACAGCATTTCATCAGCTCCCTATTTAGAGTCCTCCATGACTCCCTATTACCTTTTTTCTCCAGAATCTAAACCCAATCCTGCCTTGGAGTAGCTTTAGCAGACAGGTCCAGCCTGAACCTGGTCCCACTTACTGGTCATTCTTTCACCGAACAAATTGATCTCGGATGAACAAAGGGTCCCAGAACCGTGCTGGACACCAGGATACAGGACAAACAAGCAGATTAGCCCCATCCCCCATGGAGCTCACAGTCTGAGTGGGGAGGGATGCATGCTAAATGTGCAGTGACAGAACCGAGTGACAGACACTGTAATGGAGGGGGCGGGGGTACCAGAGAAGACATCAAATCCAGCAGTCTTCCATCAAACCTGGTGCAGGGCCCCTCAAGCCAGGGATCCCAGGGGCCAGAGGAAGTTCTGGGAGAAGGAGCCGCCTAAGCAGAGCCTGAAGGATGAGTGGGAGGAGATTGCCCTCAGCACCCCCTAGCTCTGGGGTAGCACCCCTCTCCCAACTCTCCCAGACACCCTGCATTCCTCTCTCCTCCAGAGTCTTTTCCTGGGCTGTTCTCTCTTCATCTCTTGATGCTAAGTATCTTTCAGAACTTTCCCTGTTCTGAAAATCCTCTCCTAACTGTCCAACCCTGACAGTTTCCATCTGCTCCTCATCCATATTCTCTTCAGCGCTTAGCCTGAAGAACACAAGGCTCAGAGAGGGGAAGTGACTTGTCCAAGGTCACACAGTAAGCAAGTGACACACAAGCTCCAGGCCCCTGCAAAATGCGTAGAGAGAGAGGGAAACTACAAGCCTCTACGGGAATTCCAAAGGCAAAGGCAGAAAAACTCCCAGCATGATCCCTGAGCAAGGGCAGGCAGGAAGGCTCCCGGAGGCACTGTTAGCCTGCACTGGCCTGTGGTGGGTCCGCAGACATCCTGGCCTGGGTGGGTGGGCAGTACCGGCTCCAACAACCCATCCGGAGGATATTAACAAGCCGTCCATCCAATTAGGAGCCAGTAATTAAAATTCATCTTCCTTCCTACCGCACAGTATTAAACCACAAACACTTCATTATATGCCTCTTACCTCACTGATTTGCATAAATGGGAAGAAACACTTAACAGCGGCAGCACTAATTAATGCCTGGAGTGTACTGTGGCTTAGCGGCCTGTAGGCAGCTTCTCCTCAGGCTAAGGGTGGGTCCCTGCACAGGACGCAGCCAGGGTCAGGGATGCCATAGGCAGGGTGTCCTAAAGTTGGAGGTGAGGTGGGGTGAAGGGCACACAGAGACACCGAGGGACTTCAGACTCGCCCCTGCCCTCAGGGAGCTCCCAGTCTGATGGTGGAGGCACTGAGTCTGTCCTTAAGGAGCTCCCAGTCTGATGAGGGAGAAGAAACCCTACAAGAGGATATTCCTAATCTGATGGGGGAGACACAGGTCCTACCTTTGGAGGGTCCCAGGCAGATGGGAGGTGTACAACCTCTGCCCTTGGGAAGCTCACAGTCTAGTGGGAGAGAGAGAATTCTCCATCTGGGTAAATGCCTACTCTGATGGAGGAGACTCAGCCCTTTCCCTAGGGGAGCCCTGGTTCTGATGGGGTAACAGCCCCTGCCCCAGAAGCTCCATCCATCAAAGAGGCAATCTGATGGAGTGGGAAAATCATGGTGTTTGGAATCAGGCAAACCAAATATGTGACCCCAGGAAAGTTACTTAACCTTTCTTAATTGCAATTTCCTCATCTGCAAAATAGGCACTTAGCATCCTATTAGCAGCTGCAGCCCGGGAGGAAGAACAGCCCTACTTGCAGCGTTGCTGAAGTCCTGGCTGGGAGGCAAGAATCCAGGGCAGCGGCCCTGGGAAGAAGACAGTGGCTCACAGAGACGAATGAATCCCCCGCCAGGGCAGTGCCCAGGTTGGGGTTGCAGGGCGAGGTCCAGGGTCCTGGAAAGACGTGGTGAACTAGGACTTTCCAGAGACCTCCAGGCAGGTGAGTCACCACGGTGGGGTCCTGCTCCTGCCCAGGACGGGGACAGACAGTGAGGCAGCATTAGAGCTCCCAGAAGGCACTCGACACCTCCTTCACCTCCACAAAAGTCTTCTGAGGGGCAGAGAAGGGTGGAGGGCTGGGGAGCCTTGGTTTGGGACTGGGCAGACACAGCAGGTAGCCAGGGCTGTTGAAAGCTCTTTGGAATCTGAATGTCTTTTTGACCCCAGGTCTCAGTTCCCCCTTTGCCCACCTCCTCCCCTCACACCTACTGCCTGATATCGATGTTAGCTCCTGTCCATGCTCTGCTTTCTGGACAACATATACTCAGAGACAAAAGCCCCACAGCTGGCTATTAGGGAAACCTACAGTTGCTTGGGGTCCTCCCCAGACTCTCTCTATAAAATCTCATTACCAAACTTTTGGCTTACATTAGGGAGAGAGATCCAGGGTGCTATAGATCGCCCTTAGGACCCTCATTATAGGGGGCCACGAGTGGGACTCATGGCCTTGGTCTTGCCTTCCTAGAAATAACACTCAGGTGGGCCTGGATTTGAAGCCCAGCTCTGTCACCCATGTGCTGTACATCCTTAAGCAAGTTACTGATCCTCTCTGAACTTGTTCCCTCATCTGCAAAGAGGAAGGGATAACATGCAACTAGGAGCCTGAAGTGGGAGGTGTGTGCACAGCACTTAGGCAGGAGTGAGCACTCAGCCGACCCCGGTCTCCTTCCTTCCCTGGCAAATGCCTCTTTAAAGGTCTGGTTCCTGAAGGCCCTGGAAGCGACCCTCTCCCACCCAGCAGTGGGCAAGGCCAGGCAGAGCCCAGTCCCTCCCGACAGGGTGGAAGCTGGCCTGCTGTGTCAGAGGGGCCTGCAAGCAGCCCGGGCCCAATTCCCCGGATTAGTTCCCAGCTGGGTAACTATTTACACAGGCTGCCAGGCCGGTGGTACATCATAATTATATATTATATGTATTAATACTTCACCTTTCGCCAGCACTGCATCTGGGCCCGTCAAAACACGTACCAACATTAATCAATTAAGCTCCAGGCGTCCCCGACCGACCATAGTTATTAGCTTCCCTTTTCTCACCCTGGAGGGGGGCTGGGAGCGAGGCTCGCCCAAGGTGACTGCCCAGGCCTCAGGGAACGCTCGGCCGCACCTGGGCCTCCAGGACTGACCGAGGGACACTGGCTGGCCTTCCTCCAGCCTGTCCCTGCCCCACTCAAGGTGCTCCCCGGCCTCCGCATCAGCCCTCGAGCCTGGGTCAGTCTTCCTTGATTTCAGGATTGCCAAGCTGGTCCCTGGAACTTGTTTTGAAGAGGGGCTGCATCCCTCTGTCAGGCACTTAGCTCTTTGGAAACCCTGGACCCCACGTGCCCTGTGCCCTTCCCCTCTGGGGGCTCGGCAGAATTGCCCTCGGAGGGGTGGGCCGGCTGGCCTGGGCCGGGCCCCCCTTTATCTGTTCCATAGCTATATATGATGAATCTTTAACAAGTTTCAAGCTCATCATACACAGATGTTGGATTCTATTCCAAGAGCAACCCTACAGAGCAGGCATTATTATCTCCATTTTACAGATGAAGGAGCAGAGGTCCAGAGAGGCTAATGGCTCATCCGAGGTTGCAGGGCCCCAAGGTGGCAGAGCCCAGGCTGAGACTCGGGTCAGCCCTCAAACAACTTCCACGCTTGAGGGAGGGTCTCCCTGCGCCGCCTCCTGTGCTGGGTGAAAGGCCGGCCCCTGGCTTCCAGTGGTCACAGTGTGGGAAGCGGTGCAGATGACAAAGATAAGGGACAAAATCCAGGCTCACGCAAAGTGCCATGGAACCCAAGGAGCAGGGGTAATGGGTGAGGAGGAGCAGGGAGGCAGAGCAGTGGCTTCTGGGCTAGAACTTAAAGAACATAAGGAAGAGTGGAGATCGGATACATTCCAGGTGGGAACAACATAAGCTAAGCCATTTAGGGTCAAAGAAAATGGAGCTGCCTTATGTGGCCAAAGTTCATCCTCTCCCCTAGCCTGCCCTGACATTTCCCCCTCTCCTCCTGTCCCTTTCTTTCCTCTCCTCTTTCCTCTCCCTCCTTAGAGAAGGGACTCACTGGAAGCCCTTGAGACTGTCTAGAATCTGGAAAGGTCCTGGAGGGCTGCCTGGAGGAAGAGTAAATCTAATGGTCCTGACCTCTTAACTTTATCAGCCTCAGCTGGGACTCACAGGAAGCATGAGTGACACCTCCACCTGCCAGACCCTTCCCATCACTAGCGCCTCACAGCTGATCCTCCCTGAGGACCCTCTCAGCCCTTCTTCTCTCACCTCTGACTTACGCCTCCCTGTCTATGAAGGAAAGCTTTTTCAGCACCAGATGCGTCATGGCCAGGAATACATGTGCATTCTCTCTGGGCAGAAGCAGGACCCAGCACAGAGTCAGTCAGGTGAAGAGCTGAACCAGGCATTGGTGTCAGGGAAGAGAAGAATGAGTGGGTGATTGCTCCTCCCCTTTGCTTTCCTTCAGCACCAAGCAGAGTCAGAGGAAACTGAGGGAGTGGACTTTGAATGGGGAATTTTTCATTCAGGAGGGAGATTTAAAAAAGGGTTTAAAATGAGAATTGGGACTGGCAGGCCTTGAAAGGGGCAATGACATGCTCAAAAGAAGGGAGCAATGCACCAAGGTCATGTTCTAGCAAAGTCTCCTGGAAGGAAAGCCCAGGCAGGGGGGCAAATGCAGATGGTATCAGGTAAGACATATGAATGAGAGAATCAGCCCAGGAGAAGGCAATAGGGAGTTTGGTGGGGACTGGGGTGAAATGGGGAAGGTGTGCCCTGCCTAAATGCATGAAAATTAATGAACACAACACAGACAGGTGACAACACTGATCTGAAGGCACTGGACCAAGGAATTGATGGACACTTGTAATTAACTCACTCCGTGACAGTGGAGTCACTTCCATGCTCTGGGCCTCCGTGTGTCCATCTGTTAAATGAACGCATGGGCTTGATAGTACACAAGGGCTCCTGATCCATCAGCAGCCAGTGAAATGAGATAAAGCACTGGCAGTTCTGGGTACATGGGGATGGATGACGTAGACGCTGGGAGGGGTCGAGGGAGCAACACACATCTGGGCCTCAGACCAACTGGAACTCAAGTCCTGGTCCCTCCCCCTCTATCAGCCACCACCCCCTCGCCATCCCTAGCTGTCCCATCTTAGAAGATTGCTTCACCTCCCTGACCCTCAGTCCCCTCATCTGTACAGAGGATCAAATCACATAATCCACAGGGCGATGAGGATTACAGGAGGCCATGCCCAGTTGGCCCTGGGCTCAGAGTAAACACTGCCCTCCTCCCCTTCCCCCCAGGCCCATGGCTGCTGCTGTTTCATCGGTAACTTTATCTTGTTCTCTCCTCCCTGTTAACGAGCCAAGTCACCAGGGCTTGGCTGAGCAGGGATAGTGAGTCCAGCCCCAGGCTGCAGCCTTTTGATTTCTGGGGACCGTGGATTCCTGAGCTGCTCTGAGCCCTACCCTAGCCCTCTGGCTGAGCCTCCTCTGCTGAGCGGAGGCGAGGATGTTAGCGTAAGCCTGCCGAAGCCCATTATGGCCATCCGCGAACGGTAATGGGACAGACAGCTCGAGAGGACAAAACCATCCATAACTGTTCCAGGGTCTGTGCTGAAGCTGAAGCAATGCCCGGGCACATCTCCATCACTCTCTCGGCCCCCTCATCACCAGCCACCTGTTCCAAGCCAGCGGAGCATGATAGGGACAAATCTCAAGACACCCTTCTCCCTTCGGCGCTACGGAGCCCCTGCTGCCAGGCAGAACCTGGGTGCCCTTGGAGGCTCATATCCAGAGCTCCCAAACAAAAATGCAGACATCACCATAGTTGGCTGGCACTGAGAGCAATCAATGGCTGTCAGCCCCTGTGCTATTACATCATAGCTGTGGGGCAGGAACTGTGATAGGCTGTTTAATTATATCATCTCCTTTAATCCTCACATTAGCCCAGTAAGGTAGCTTGTCATATCCCTATTCCAAAGAAACAGGTTCAGAGAGGCTGAGTAAGCTATACGGGATCACACAGCTGCTAACTAGCTGGGCTGAACCCAGAGCAGGAAGCAGCATCAGGTTCTCCAGGGCTCCTCACCAGGGATTTGGGAGCGGTCATTGGTGAGATTTAAGGGGACACATAATGAGTATGGCAGGAGCTTCACGTCCCCTACATGCCAGAGGCCAAACCCATAGTGACGGAGGCTCCAGTTTAAAATCTACTTAAGAGAAATAACAATGATGACAACTGACACCATTTGGTGGCCCCCCCAACACCAGGAAGATGGCACTCAACCATCACTCTCAGCCTACAAAGATACGGACACTTGGTCTCACTTTCCAGGTGTGGAAACTCAAGTTCAGAGAGGTCAATAACTTACTCAGGCTCACACAGCATTTAAAAGGCCAAATTGGACTGTGAGATCCAGGCTGTTTAGAACCAAGTCCGTGGTCTCTACTTTCTAAACATCCTCAGTTCAAATATCACCTCCTCTGGGGATCTGTTCTGACCCCACCCAGAGCCCCTGAAATTTATTCTTCCTGATTCGGAGGCAGCTTTCCCCACTAAAGTTTAGTTTCAGGAGGACAGGATTGCTAGGTGCTAACACATAGTTTTTCCTCAAAATGAATCTGCGGATGATTAAATAAATTCATTCATTCGACAAACATGTAATGAACACCTATGATGTGCCAGATCCATTCTAAGCATGGAGGAGACAGCAGTCAATGTCCATAGAAAAGTCCCTGCCCTCACAGAACCCACATCCTCATGGGGAAGACAGAGAATAGAACAGTGACCATTTAAATAGATGGTAAATGTCATGTAGAGACAAGGGCAACAAAGAATAATAAAGCAAGCCCAGGGGATGGAGAGTAGGTGACCACACATCCCAGAATGTCTGGAGCAATCCTGGTTTAAGCCTTTTGTCTGGTGGATAATCATTAGTGACTCCTTTCCCTTTAAAATTATCCCCATTTGCATGACAAATTCTCTGGTCACCCTTGTGGTGGGAAATCCTAGAAGGCTGTCTTTGACTACATGATGAGGCAGAAACTGCTGGTTTTCACTCATACCCAGATAGAAATATTTCCCAGCCCCGCTGCAGTGAAGGAGGGCACGTGACTGAGTTAACAGTCAATGGAAGGAGGTCGCAAATTGTCAGATGCCACTTTCAGGCCTGGCCCCAGACATCCTGTGAACCCCTCTGCCATAGGGTGAATCATTGGTCAGCCAATAGTCAGCCCCCCTCCCCACAGCCCGTGGTCATGGAGTGCATGTCCCCTCCCACTGAAGACATGTGATCTGTTTTGGCCACTAGTATGCTGGCGTAAGTGATGTAACTGTGGACCTGGCCCTGGACACAGCAGCTGAGACCCTCTGTGGTCTCCTCTTCTTTACTCTTCAGCCAAATGAATACAGAAGAGCCAGCGGAGAGCCCCAGGGGACCCCCAGGAATGACAGACACACAAGATGAAAAAGGCTATGATCTCTGAACCACTGCTTGGAGGTGAGCCACCCAGGAGAGCCTCTGAATAAACACAAGAATAAATACTTTTGACTCTGCCTGAACAACAAATACACTTTTATGGTGTTAAGTCACCAAGAGTTCAGAGTCGTTCATTCACAGCAGCAAGTGTTAATTACCTTGACTATTACAAGTTGTCAATGAAGCCTCCTTGAGAAGGGAACATTTGAACAGAGACCTAACTGAAGCAAGCGAATACCACTACACACAGAGGACATGGCACGTGCAAAGGCCCTGAGAACCCAGAAGTCTCTGACTCATGGTGGCTGAGTCGTATCCTTCACCACATGGCCACTTTGCTCAGGTCACATAACCTACCTGAAACATTGTTTTCTCTAGTGCAAACTGGAGCAAACTGCCCCTGCTTTTCTCCGTGAAGGCACCAAGGTGGGGAGGCTGATGCAGTAATAGAAAGGGCTCAGGGACCAGGGCTGCCTCATCAGCTCAGAGGCCTGCTGGCCAACCAGACACTCTCCATTTTGAACAGCCCAGAATGCACTGACATTTGTGACCCCACTTGATAAGACTATGGCTAAGTGGCAGTTGTCCCGATGAATCTGCTGGTGGCCCTGAAGGGGTAGCTAGATCACAGGGGTGCCTGGAGGACACTGCTCACAATTCAGGAATCTCAGTCCCCTGGGAGGTTTTGAGAAATAGACCTTCTAGAATCCAAGGGGGAGGGAAGGGTGGAACATTTGTGGACGGCCTGGTCTTGAACTAGAAATTTACATACCTGTTTTCACACAGCCTCGCAAGCAACTCTTCAAGGAGGCCAGTGTTTCTGTCCCTGGCCACCCTTTCTCTGTTTCTGGAGCTAAAACAGAATCTTGGACCAGTATCACCAAGATGGGACACAGTGATTGGTGCACAGGAGGAACCTAATTTTAAGCCACCTTAAGTATTTGCAGTCAGGTGTTCTATCTGGACTATTTCTAATCTTCCCAACCTCCCATAATGTAGCTATTGTCCCCACTTTCTGGATGAAGAAACTGAGGCTCAGAGTGGCCCAGGTTCAGAGTGAGCAGCAGCAGATTCCACCCTAGATCAACCTGCTTCCAAAGCCTACCTACATTCTTGCTAGTGTATTAATGAACACGTGACTTTCGGTAACAATAATTAGCTTCTAGGAAACCAGCGCCAGGTGTGCCCCTCAGTGCTGCAGTCACATTATCTCAGAGAATTCTCAGAACCACCTTTGATACTAGGTAATTTTACAGACGATGAACTAAAGAGGGGCAATGACTCGCTCAAGGTCACACAGCTGGGAAATGATGGAGCCAGGTTGGAGACACAGATAAATGAAGCCAGGGTCCTACCCTGGAGGAACTCCCGGAGAGGCACCCATGGTCTCCATGACTTGCTCATGTTTCAAAGCCCTATTAGGGCCAATTGTGGGATTGGC